ACTTCACCCTCTTACTTTACTCATCAGAATAAGGCAAATACATTTTATATGAAGAAAGATTGGATAGTTTCAAGGAAGACTGTGATATTTCAGAGTTTGAGCAAAGTGTTATTACAATGTAAACGTAATTTAAAACAAACAAATAAAAAAAACGAATTGCATGGCTATGGAACAAGTCCTGCTCCAATGATTACAACTGCAACTACTACTCATTCAGTCATTTGAAATCTTTGCTTGAATTCGCCATCATATAGGAAAAAATAAAAACCTCAAATGTTTCAAATTACTGTAGGCTGGAAATTCCTGATTTTCCATGTGTTTCCAGTAAGGTTTGATTTTGAGATGATTTCCGGAAAATAAAGGGAAAAAACAGAACTTGGGGAACTCATAAAAGCAAGTAATATGTGCATAATTGTGTGAGAAAAGCTAAAACAACATTTCACAGCTGGTCAGCATAAAACTGACTTGTCGGTTTTACTTTACAGATAGCACCTGTACGTCTTAAATAATACACATGTACATTATTCATTTGAAGACTTTTATACAGTATAAAATTTCTGTGTATACGAAAAATGAAAATGTAGCTTTTCCAAAAATTTATTTTCCTATAATAGTAAGTAAAACAGATTCTGAAGCATATGTTATCCATCACAACAGATAGACTGTTCTGTAATACGTCCTAGGCAGGTAGCAGAGAAAATGTTTTGAGTTTTATCAGGAATGCAGAAAATCTCCCTGAAAAAATAAAATCTCTACAAAGGGGTCCCAAGAAAGTTTTCTTTGCAAGGAGTGAGATGGCGTTGGTTAAATCCTAATAGCTCAGCTTTGATTAGGGTTTTCTATCCTCCCTCCCAGTGCAGCTGAGAGGGCAAACTGAATTGAGGTGAGTAGGTGCGGGTGCACAAGCATGCTGAGGCACATTGTGTGTTTAATCCATGTGTGCGCCATTGCGCATGTGCATTGGCGTATCAAGCAGCCTATTGTGGAATATAGGAGGCGATAGAGAGGGAGGTAAAGGGCTGGAAAAGGAGAGAACTGTTCAAGTATAGTTTCACCCGCTAGAAATTTAGGATTCATATCAAAGCTAGCATAGTAAATCCGCTCCTTGCCTTAGTCCCAAAGTGTGATCTTTGGTTTGGTTTGATTGTGTGGTAGGAACGCTTACCACAAAATCTACCCTTAATAGTTTTTTTTTAAGTGTACAAAACAGTGCTGTTCACTGGAGGTACGATGTTGTTCAGCAGATCTCTACCACGTATTTTTCTTGCATGACTGAAACTTTGTACTCATTGAATAGCAACTCCCCATCTCCCCTCCCCCTAGCCCTGGCAACCATCATCCTACTGTCTGCGTCTATGAGTTTGACTATTTTATGTGCGAGGACATGGATGAACCTGGAGGACATGATGCTAAGTGCGATAAGCCTGTCACAGAAGAACAAATACTGCATGATTGCTCTTATAGGAGGCACCAAAAATAACCTTTGGTTTTGAAGAAAGTCTTCGGAGAACTACAATTTGCGAAGTTCAGCGGGCCTGGAGGAGAGGGCCTGCCCAGAAACTTGAAGTCAGCAGACAGGGTTGCAAGCAGAGTGGGACATCTGACTCCCCGCATGCGCCATCCTGCCACTGAGGGAGATGACGTTCAGTGAGCTCACAATTCCGCAAGGCCTAGTGTAGAAATCTTGATGTGAGAAAGGAACAGAATCACACAGAGCTGAGAGACTGCGACTCGCCTAACATGGGAGGTCAGGAGCCGGTGTTTGTTTGGAGGGGAACATTTTATTGTCAGTTATGCCCTCACTCTTACTATTAAAGTCATAAATGGGGGAGGAGGAGGAAGTGACACTTTAGCAAATGGAAATTTGAGAAAACACTACTTACAGGGACACAGCAGTCCTATGGAGTGAAGCTGTACTGGAAATACAGCTCAGAGAACCCGCGGGAGTTTTTCTCTGGATTGCCCCGTTGGTAATCGTGTTCTCCAGCTCCTATTCCAAGTATCTCTTGGTACAATTGGCACCACCCTTGAACTCAGTGAGCTTCTTTGAACATTAGCCGTTGCTTAATCACCTTTATATGTCTGCAGAGAACCTCACAGAGCACTTGGCAGCAGGCCCTCGATAGATATGTGTTAAACTGGCTAGATTTTAAGAGGTGTTGTAGATTGAGCACCCATCAAGAGAGCAAAGGATTTAGGTTTCCAGAGAACTGGCCACTAGTGGACTTTTTAACCACAGGCAAGTCACTTTGATCTCAGTTCTGGGTTTCTCATTGGTAGATGGCGGGAATTGCCTTACTTGACCTCCAGCATAACTTCCAACTGGAACAGTCTGTAGTAGAAAGCCTCTCTTCCTTTTGGAAAAATGTAGAATTATATATCAGGTGTGATCATGCCTTCTATAAATTTATCATTAAATATGCACAAATGAAACTGCTACTTGGAATAATGAAGTAATGAAGTAGCAATTAGTCCACTTAAACATGATTGCTAATATATTTTGTCTTTCTACTGTTAAAAAACAATTAAATAAAAACTTCCATTCTGTGAAAATTTCTTCCTTTGACTGACAGGTGTGCTTATTTTGGGAACATAGCAGTTCATTCTAATCCAGTAGGGTAACATTTTTAAAAAGTATCACCAAATGAACTTCCTAAAGTATCCAAGTTACTCTCACAAAAAAATAAAAATTATATACAAGTAGAAATGTCCTGAATATGTAAGAATTTACTCATTTCTAAGCTGTATTAATTCCTTTCCTTATGAATATGTGGTTCTAATAAATATTTAGTACTTGCTATTCACATTTGGAGCTTTTTTGGTTTCTATCCTTTTCCTCAACTTATTTCCAAACATTTGAATAATCTACCTGAGCACAAATATCATTATTTAATTGCACTTCAAGTTAAGCATAAAATTCAAAGAAGTGTTTCATGTAAGAAATGCACTGTTTTTGAAAGAGGAGGAAAACTTTCACTAAGATAAAAATTCAGTTGGCATTTCCTCAAATGCTGAAAAAGAAATCTCCTGACTCTGCATGCAAATAACTGTAATTAATAAATTTAAACCACTGTCAGCAAAAATTCCTATCAAAATGACTTTTTGAGATGAACAATTATGAAATGATTAAAATTACTGAATCAAAATTGTTTCAGACACGGTGTTTAGTGTCAAATATTGGACTACTTTTCACTGAAATTGGTACATAAATAAATAAACGTTTTCTATAGGCACAAGAACCACAACACTTTAAGGTTATTGAAGGGTCAGAGGAGGCTGCTGGAGCCTGGGTTCCCCTCCTTTCTATCCTCATCCTGAATGTCCCTCACTCCTCAAATTATGTAATTGGTAGTATTGGCTGTGGGGAACCAACTGACCACTGAGAGACTCGGGGAACAGTTCATTCCAGCTGTGGAATTAGAAGCAACAGCCTTCAGTCACAGCAATTTCCTCCCAGGTCTGGAAGTATTTCAGAATCCACTAGGGCTTGTCACTTGGTCTGGGACCCCCAGGATCTCCTCAGTTATAATTGTGAACTAAATCTCAGGACATGCTCCACCCCCATGTCTCCCAGATGACTCCAGAGGATGCTCTGGGCACAAGGCAATGGGTGTCATTGCTGGGCATTCTAGGTTTCCCTCCTGGGGTTCGTCAGCAGCCTGAAGACCTCAAGTCAATCCAGGGCCCTCCTGATTCCCTTCCTGAAAAAGTAATCAGATCTTTTAGCAAAGGCCTGGGGAAAACACCGGCATATTGGAGTCCATCGAGGCTTCTGCATCCCCGTATATTAAACAAACGTGGAAGGACAGAAATGTGCTAGTTATACGGGATTCATTTTCCACTGATGTATTCATTAATTTGCCTGCAAGATAATAGGGGAGGAGGATGTTCCTGCTTTTACAGTAGACCTAACCTTCACCAGGTTGTGGTTACAAAGTCATCAGGTTTTTCTTTCTTTTCTATTAGAGTTGCTAATTAGAGGAAACGAAGAAGTAGCAACCGAGTCGCACTGACAATGCCACTCGTGTACTAATAAGCACCAACCTGCATTCCCCATCCCCCATACATCTTCTTTTCTTCCTTAAAAAAGAATTCTGAGAATGATAGAAAGTCGGGGCTTTAGGTGGATAAGTGGCTGTTTCAGGAGAGACACGGGTAAATACAAAAATGAGTCATTATCAGTTATCATTTAAGCCGAAGGAAGAAAAGTGTGGGTATCATTTTTTTAAACCTTATTTTTAAAAAAAGAAGAAAAAAGCGCAATTCCTTTCAAGAGTTAACTCTTTCTGGCCCAGCGTTCTTAAAGCAAAGCAAAGGAAGTCCCAGTCATCTGGGATTAAGTGACAGATTGTGGGCACTGATGCAAAACACGCTGGAGAAAGGGGGAAGCCCGCGGCTCCAACACAAAGGCGCGAAGTTCCCAGGCCCGCGGCGGCCCTGCCGGGGGCACAGAAACACTCAGGGCGCCGCGACGCGCCAGGAAGCCGCTGAGCTCTGTGGCCGCCCGGCCCCTCTGCTGGTGGCTGGGAGAAGTTAGTCACCCGGAGCCCTAACCCGGCGAACATCCATCGAAGCGCGCAAACCGAGGAATGGGGAGGAAGGAAACTCGGGACCGGGGCGGCTGGGAGGAGGCGAGAGGAACGCGGGGCGCAGGGGGCGCAGGGGACGCAGAAAGCACTTGGCTGGTGGGTGGATGGAGTGGCAAGGTCTGCGAGGCCGAAGTGCGCGGCCATGCACAGGGGAAAAATTCGAGGCAGGAAAGTTCCTACGGAGGGAAAGAAAAGCAGGAGACAAGGAGACAGGGAGCGACTTGAAATGTCTAAGTAACTTTAAAAACACACCAAACACCCCCTTCAGGAGATGAGGTAAGCCGAGGTTAGCCAACCCCGATTCGTTGTGAAATATCAGACGAACCCGGAGCCGCTGTGGCTTTAAATGAGGCCAAGGAAATCTTCTGTTTTTCTTACCCAAATACTTTTTTTCCCCTCTCGCCCTAGCTCCCTCCCACGTCCCTCCTTCCACCTCGCCGGGTCCCTTCCTCCTTCCCGGTCTGCCTTTCCTCGATCACCCCCCTCGCCCGCCCTCCCCCATCTGATTAGGCGCGGACGGGGAAGGGTGGGAGTGGTGGGGGAAGCTCTCCCTTTAAGAGGCAGCTTGCAGTGACGAATTGTTGAAATTGCCATTGCAGGATGGCATGCCGCTATAAATTCATTGTTCCACCTCCTCGCATCTTCACAGCGCTCGCGCTGCTCTCCGCGCTCGCAGCGGCCGACTGGGGATGACCGCGGGCAGGAAGGCATTGCATCCGAAGGGACACGGACGCGCCGCTTCACTGGCTTGCTGCAGGCTGACCCTTGTGTTTTTGTTTTAATTTTTATGGAGTTTCCCCCTCTCTTTCTTTCCTTTCGCCTGGTTCCAGAGGAGTCAAGGAAACCCACAAAATAAGAAAGGAAGTGGGCTCCGGAGCTTGTAACCCCGGCTGCCGGCGGGTCCCGGGCAGCAAGGGGGCGGGAGGCAGCGCGCACCAGTTGCCCGCCTGGTGCGCGGCACCTTCCTTACTTTTCTTGGTGCAGCGACAGTGGCTGCATTTGGGGTGGATTTGGGTTTTTCCCCTTTCCTTATATTTACTGATTCTCCACAGCCCGGCTTTTCTGTAATTTTTTTTCCCCCCCGTCTTTCCGGAGCACGAATCCAAACATTTTCCAAACCAACAAAGAAAAGTTCGCACGCTGGCACCGTGGCTCGGACGGGCTGGCACTGCTGCCGGGTCTCCCTCCCTCCGACACTTGACTCAACTTGCAAGCGTGTGTGTGTGTGTGTGTGTGTGTGTGTGTGTGTGTGTGTGTGTGTGTGTGTGTGTGTGTGCCCCTACCTCCCTCCCCGGTAACTTCCATAGCGAATAACGAATACCCATAAAGTCCCCGCCGCGCAGCCCCTCCCCGCGGGCAGCGCACTATGCTGCTCCGGTGGGCGTCCCTGCTGATGCTGTGCGCGCTCCGCCTGCCCCTGGTCGCCGCCGGCTCCGCCGCGGCACCTGCCCAGGATAAAGCCGGGCAGCCACGGACTGCTGCAGCGGCCGCCCAGCCCCGCCGGCGGCAGCGGGAGGAGGCGCAGGAGCAGACCGAGCCTCCGGGCCACCCGCACACCCTGGAGCCGCAGCGCAGCAGCGGCGGGCTCGTACAGAACATCGACCAGATCTACTCGGGCGGCGGCAAGGTGGGCTACCTAGTGTATGCGGGGGGCCGGAGATTCCTCCTTGACTTGGAGCGGGATGGCTCGGTGGCTGCCGCTGGCTTTGTGCCCGCAGGAGACGGGCGGAGCGCAACCCGACGCCACCGGGGCCACTGCTTCTACCGAGGCACGGTGGACGGCAGCCCGCGCTCCCTGGCTGTCTTTGACCTCTGCGGTGGTCTCGACGGCTTCTTCGCGGTCAAGCACGCGCGCTACACCCTGAAGCCACTACTGCGCGCGCCCTGGGCGGAGGCAGAGGCTGGGCGCGTGTACGGAGACGGGTCAGCTCGGGTCCTGCACGCCTACACACGTGAGGGCTTCAGCTTTGAGGCCCTGCCGCCGCGCACCAGCTGCGAGACCCCAGCGTCTCCGCCAGGGCCGCCTGAGCGCCCCCCTCCGCATAGCAGCCCGGACCGACGCTGGACGCTCGCCCCGCAATTCCTGGACCAGTCGGCTCCCTCGAACCACGGGGGCCAGGGAGCACAGACGTGGTGGCGGCGGCGGCGCCGCTCCATCTCCCGGGCCCGCCAGGTGGAGCTGCTTCTGGTGGCTGACGCGTCCATGGCGCAGATGTATGGCCGGGGCCTGCAGCATTACCTGCTGACCCTAGCATCCATCGCCAACCGGCTGTACAGCCACGCCAGCATCGAGAACCACATCCGTCTGGCCGTAGTGAAGGTGGTGGTGCTGGGCGACAAGGACAAGAGCCTGGAGGTGAGCAAGAACGCAGCCACCACTCTCAAGAACTTTTGCAAGTGGCAGCACCAGCACAACCAGCTGGGGGATGACCATGACGAGCACTACGATGCAGCCATCCTGTTTACTCGAGAGGTAGGTGCAACCTGGGAGGGTGGTCCAAGCAAAAGGGACAGCCTTACTGACGGCCTTGCTTCTCCCACAAACCACCTGTCACTATGAATAGGCTTAACTGCTTCTTGCAGGAAACCCAGCCAGCCTCCAACTTGGGTCCTGTATTGAGAGTAGCCCTAGCAGCAATCCCCTCCTTAAAGAAGCAGACCCGCTTAGATAATCAGTCAGTCAATCAGGCAGGACGTCTCTAGTCTGGGGTCTGGTGTTGTCCATGCATACATATGGTAGAAGGGACCAGAATGCTTGGGGAAAGTGTAGATACTAAATGGGAAAAGGGGAAAGCAAGTTTGCCTTTGGAATCAGTGGTCTTCTACTTCCCAGTGAGCCCCAAAATGGAAATTTGTCCTTAATGGAAAGAGCTTGATGGTTGGTCCGTTGTAGTCACTTTTATCTATGACCTTCCTTTGTAAATGCCCATACCTTCTTACTTAAACCTCGCCTATATTAAGTTGAAAGAAGACTTTTCTGAAGAAAGGACTATTTTTTCATTCTGGCTTTCTAATGAAGTTCTTACATGTCTACCTTGGTGGAATCCCCTTCCTGTGAAGGAAGGAATGTGGGAAGGAAGGAGGAGGGAGGGGGAGGGGGACAGAGAAACCCAATCTTGTGAGGTTTCTTAGTAACTTCTTACCTAGTTACCCAGGGCACCACAAGCACTGCCCTCTCCTCTGCAGCTGCCAGTGAAAGGTCACATCCAGCTTACATTTTTGGGTTTTGGATGCATGTTTCTGAAGCCCCAGTGTGGAAAGATCTGGGCAAAATGGCAAGGCATGAGGAAGAATGTTTTCCCAGGATTTCCTCTTTTAAAGATGGTTACAGGAAGGGGAAGAAACTGACCTTTATAGACCCAGAGGTTCGGGGAGGAACAGAGTATCTATGTGCACAATCATTAAACCACCACCTAAGTGTGACATTCAGACACAAAGTCTGGGCTGGGTTTGAGCCTGGGTTGCTCAGAGCTCTGTCCACAGTTTTCACAACTCTATTCTGATTGGCAGTTTTAAGTCATGCCTCTCAGATGCCTGGTAAGAATCAACTTTTAAAGCTCATTCGTTAAGTGTTGGAGATCCATCTAGCATAGCTGAAGGACTAGAAACTTTGAAATATTCAAAATCGTGGTATGAAATGGAGTAACCTGAGCAAGGACAGGAAATTCAATGATGGCTTGCTGGAGGTTTCCGAGCCACTCAGCTCCACTACCTAATTCTCCTGTTTTTACTCAGACACCCTGGGGTGAAGGGAAAGTGTTGATAAATTTGGGGTGGAGAAACATTTGTGGTTCACGGGGTGTACATCAATGTAAACCACATGTAAACAATAACACCGGGGGGGGGGGGGGGCAGCAGTTTAGGGAGAGCCGGGCAGGACATGGGGCTGTGTACCATGTGAAATCTTTCTCCTCATTAAGTGATCTCTTGGAAGCCATCCTTTAATTTCTCTGCACAACATAAACCTTTGAAATGGAAGAACATTCAATTTGCAGGTTCCAATATGAAGTGATGCTCTCTTGTAAAACTATTGCTTTCTTACTTGGTTTCCAAGGTCTTTTTATTTGGGGGGGGGGGCGGGGAGCAACTTTCCATGTCTGGATTTCTTGCTTTGCTACATCACAAGAGGCTGCCAAGAAGGAGGCTTCACAGAGTTTATGGAAGGAAGTTCTCCAAAGACAGAGGAAAAAATATTTTTGTAGGCATACTGCTCCAAAGAGTACATTTTAATAGTTCACTTTCATTTTTGAATACAAACGCATATTCCATAACTTTTAAGATAAATAAAAACTAATAGAAGACTCCATTACTTCTTACCTCCTGCCCCACAATTTTCCTAATTGCTTCCCAGAAAAAAAGGAAAACTAGTCAGTGATTCTAAATTATTTGTCTGTTGCTTTTTCTGGATTTGTTTTTTGTTTGGGTGGGTAATAATTCCTATTTTCCAAGCTCTGAACCGTATCAGTGTATTTTAAATAGATAAGAGCCAGGGAGAAATAAATTAATGATCTATCTTAATTTTAAGAAGTATTATAATTACATTCATTTTTTTCAAGTGAGTGTGCACATGGAAAGTATTTTACATGGTTCCTCCCTGATCGCCTTGCCAAGCAGAAGCACACTTTTTGTAGAGCAATTCTCATTTAGTGTGTGGCTAGCCCTCTGGAATGTACATCGGACTCGGTGAGAACCAAATATTTGAAAAGCATGTGTGTTATGAATATATGCACCTAATTTAAAAGAGTGCTATTAATTCAGGGGCTGAGGAAAATATTACAAGACTTTATGCAGCATTCATTGGAGAGCACTTCAGCATGTAAAGTTAATCTCCACCTAATACTTCAGAATGTGGAAAACAAGAAGGCGAGAAGAGAAATTATCTGAGCTCTTCTAGCCCATGGAAAGTAGATCTCTTAAGACCTAAAGAGAAACTTTCATGGCTATTTTTTTTTTCAATGAGAAATACCCAGAGTTGGCACCAGGATCCTACTTTTACAACTCTGTTTTGATGTAAGAAATGCGTTGCTTAGCAGCCAGACGCTAAGCCATGAAATCCATGTTTTGATGGGCTCTGAGAACTGTTCCAATTGTGTGTCCAGATGTTTTCTCCTAAATTGCTTATTTTTCAGGCATGAAGCAAATGTGTGAGGATATGTTTTCCACTCCTGTTTACTAGCCGGGGCCACCTTGAACGTTGTGTCTGGGAGTCAGCAGAATCTTGCTAGTAATTCATTTATCAATCTAACACACTTCACTGTCAAGGTTGTACCCCAGCACTCAGCCCTGTTCTAATTAGAGAAACTTTAGCACCAGTCGATTTTCTGGCATAAGAGCCATTTTTTATTCTGGAATGGCACTTATGCTGGAATTCACACCCCTTTTGCCATCAAACAGTAGAAATCCAATCTCCCCAGGATTTAATGTTGCTTTCCAGAATTCTTTCCTTGTTCCTGGCATCCTCTTTTATTTTAAAGTAGTTTCTTTAAAGACAAACCCCTAAACCCATTTTGGAGACCATGTGCTCTTTTAGAAACAAAAGCCCTACCAGCTTGATAACAAAACTGTCAAATGTTTAACATCCCTTGCCCCTACACAACATCAAATGTTTCACTCCTTCATGGATTGAAAACATTGGATTGAAACTGAACCAGCTATGAGACTATGCAATATAAACGGCTCATTCAGTTTCATTAATTATCAGCATGCCAGTTAATAGGCAGTTGTCTTCCCGCTAACATCTCTCTTTATGCAGTGCCTTACAATGCCATTTTGAGGACTCCACAGATAGCATTTCTCCTTTACAAGCTGGTTCCTTGTTAGATTCCAACAATAGGGGGCCCCAGAGGGAGATCAGAAGCTTGGAGGAGGGAGAAGGATGTGCTTTTTCTTATCTGCTTGCTGACTGGATTGACACATTCAATTGCATATTTGAGTTCAAATTCCATTTAAAGTCAAAAGTGAAACTTTAGCAAAGGATTCATAGCCTATAGGTCAACTGCAATCAATAGAAGGCGAAATAACTCAGAAATGGGAATACCAGAAGCAGATGAATCAGCTCTAGTTGACATTTTAAAAATGCTTGGTGAATTGAAAGTTGCTAAGAGAGTAAATCTTAAAAGTTTTTATTACAAGAAAAAAAATCTGTACCTATGTGTCATGATGGATGTTAACTACACTTACTGCGGTAATCATTTCATGATACAGACATGATACATTATGTTGTATACCTGAAACTCATATAATGCTATAATTCAATTATATCACAGTGAAAAAATAAACTGTGAAGAATATTCTGAAAAATCTGAAGTCTATTAGAGACAATATAGCACACTACTCAGAACGTATTTCATGATTGTCTTTCTCACGTCAACACATGCCAATAGTGCTTTCTATGTGCGAGGCACTCAATTAGGTGTTGAAGGCAGCCAGATGGAAAATACCTGGTCCCTGTCCACCAAGACTTATCATCATGGGAGAGGAAGCTCAAACATGTATATAAGTCACACTAATGTTAGGGAAACTCGGATAAATGATGTAACCGAGCTATAAACAAAGTCTGCCAAAGGAGAGGAGAGGGAACAATCAATTCTGCCTAAGGATCTTTATACAGGCTTCATTGCAAATGTAGAATTGAATTGGCCCTTGAAGGATGGGCAGATTTTATTTAGAATCAGCCAGCTTTTTTATTGAGCATTTTTAATATACTATCTCTCATCATAAATCATTTTACAGTGAATCCTTTCAACCATCTGCAACCAAAGTATCATTGTCATAAGTTGACAGGTAAGGACATCCATTCAAAGAGAAATAGAGATAATCTTCTCAGAGCAACAGCTGGCAAGTGGCAGAGAAAGTAGGCTGGTCTAAGTCTCGTGCTCTCTAAAATTATAATTAATTCACTCAGACATTCAATATGTTCCTAATAGGCAGAGGTGGATTTAAAAAGTGGTCCCTTTTCTAAGAATCTGTTCCAGGAAACAGACAAGGAAATGGGTAATTGCTGTACGGAATGATGACTTTTATGATGGACGTGGTCATTAGATGTTATCCAAGCACAAAAGAAGGTTGCCTAACCCATTTAAGTTCAATTTGGAAGAAAGAGGAGGACTTAGCCAGACCCATAAGGAGAAGACAGGTTTTGCAGAGACACCAAACTATCATGTGCAATGGCCCAGAGGCAGCATGGTGATTCTGTGAAATGGAGGGGGTAGATGTGATAGGATAGACAATATCAGAGTGGAAGGGTGATAGATTAGTCTAGAGGAGATGATAGCAACCAAATTAGAGAAGAAATTGTACGCCACGTGTATTAGTCTGCTCAGGCTGCCAAAACAGAATGCCATAGACTGGGTGGCTTAAACAAGAGAAATATATTTGCTCACAGTCCTGGAGGCTGGGAAGTCCAAGATCAAGGTTCCAGCCTATTTACTTTCTGGTGAGCGATCTCTTCCTGGCTTGTAAACTCTACCTTCT